GGTAGGACTGTAGATGGTTAACATGTTTCTTGTTTATACTTATCTTTAGTTTTACATTTTCTATTAGGAGCATATTACCTTTGTAATGAGGAAAAATAGTAAATATTTAGAGGAGAGGTAAAGTATTTGAATCAGAAAGGCTATGTCCGAATTTTGCCTCCACACTTAGAAGCTGTGCCTCCTTGGACAAATCATTTAATCTTTCTAAACCTCAGTTTGCACATCTGTAAAATAATATGTATATATGGAGAAAATAATATCTACCTCACAGAGCCATTGTGATCATTAGATATAAAGCGTTAGGTACATGGTAAGCATTCACAAACTGACAACTATTACTAATGTTAATATGAGTTAAAATCATAACAACCACAACGACTTGCCCCCAATTTCTTTCTGCCTCTTGGTACTCAGACATAAGGAAGTCTCACCTCTTATAATCTGGGCTATTCTTTCCTCCCAAACCTCACTTTTTGTTTTCTTTTGCAAGCCATTGGGCGGAGGGTGGGGACCAGGCAAAGTCATAAGCTCTTCTATCATTAACTGGGTTGACTGAATGGCCGATAATGCAAGGACTTCGCAGTAGTCTTTCTCCATGTGTAGGGGCTAAAAGTCAATAATTTTAAAAAAATAAATTTTATATATGTATGATCACTGTACTCCTCAAGTGAGCCAGGCGCTTTCATATCCGAGTCCCCTTAACAGCAACCTACTTTGGCGTTAGGTACTTGCGCATCCCGGTCTCCGTGGGCGCTGACAAATTACAGACATTTCCTTCCCTCGCCAGCAGGGCTCTCTCGTGGTCGGCCACCCAGCCCCCTCCGGGGCTAGAAGGCGTTGGGGGCCGGGCCTGCTCCTCCCCAGAACCACACAGACTAGGCTCTTTGCTGCCCATCATCACTACGAAGCTAACCAATATGAACCGACTCTCCCACCTGAGCCGTACAGGGCACGAGGGGCCGGAGGAGCAAGCTGTCTGCCCAGCGACGGCGGCGGCAGTGGAATGGGAAATGGGGTGGGTGCCGAAAGCTAGGGGAAAGGAGTCGGTTTTCAGCGTCTCTCTAGGGGAAGTTCCTCTTTTCCTCTAACCTGCAGCTTCCCTGTTGCAAAGCCCTACCGAGCTCCCAGTCCAACCCCGACTGCCTGGCGGACCGGCGCCCAGACGCCCCCGCGAGTTAGGGTGCATTTTCCCAGGGCTTCCAAGTCAGGCGGGTGCCTTTCACCACCTACCACCATGTCTCAGCAGGCACCCCTATTGCTCCTAGGTCTTTGCACCCACTTCCCTCCTTCCCTTACCCTCCAGGGGGTTTTCGGGAGCCCTTGGCCCAGACCAAGCTGGGTGCCCGTCCCCCAGGCACTCTAACTTACGGTGCAGCAGTCCATGCTGGGGTTGGGGGTCCTCGGCTGGGCGGAGCTGGCGCAGGGCGGGGGTGGGTCTATGTGGTGCCGGATGGGGAACTCCGCGGCTGACCGGCGCCCGCGGACCCGCGCCGAGCCCTCCGCAGCGCTCTGGGGTCAGCTCTCCCGCGCTCGGCTCCGCTCGCGAATGTAACCTGAGCCCTGCGGTCGCGAAGCCAATCAGGAGCCACCTCGGGCAGGGTGGGCGGGGAGACCGGAGGGATGACCACGCCCTCTTCGCCGCGCTCTTGCTCCAGCCCCAACCCCTCCGCCCGCACACTTCCATCCACTCCTCCTACACGCGCGTCCTCCCAAACCCAACCCCTTGCTGCTGAGGCGGCAGACTGCCTGGCAGATGGGAACCCCCGACATCCCGGGCACAAACACACTCACATCTGGGCACCATACCCTCCCACCCATCTATAGAAAACCGCGCAGCCCTCACTACCTCCCCATACTTCCACAACCTAGCCCAAGTGCCGAATAGGGCTCCTTTAGCTTTTCTCCTCCTCAGTCCTCAAAGAAAAGTCCCCAAAACTTGCGGTTAAAAAGTCCCATTACCACTCTACTGTGGAATGGAGAACGCTGTCGGTACACAACCTGGTGCTGGGCACACAAACACAAAAGCTCCCATATATGATTTCCCAGGCTCACGGAAACGTGGACTTAAACATGCAGACACTACAGACACAACCTGCAAAAATAACTACAAAGACCTTGCACGCACACACTCTGCAGATAAATGCAGACAAACTTGTGCTCGCTCAAGAGCAAGCACCCTACCAAAAATGTCTGCATTACATATCTGTTATCCAGCCTTCTGTCGATCTGTATGCCCTGCTCCCAACAGACAGTCATGTGTGCACAACACCCATTTTGCATGTATTTCTATATGGACAGTGACTTGGTAAAAACACCCTTCCCTCCCACTCCCCATACCAGACACTCCCTAACCTCTTGATCCACTGCTTCAGAATAAGACAAAAACTAGCCACCAGTCACCCTTGCCCCTGGGGAGACGAATACACTAAGCCTCAGTATAGGGAAGTATCTGAAGTCATTGTTCTTTGGGTCCATGGTGAAGGAAGGATGTGAGCTTCTGAGAGGCTGGGAAGGGGAGACAGGGGAGGAGCATCTAAGAGGAGCAGCTGTCATTTTTGTGGTCTCCAGCTTCCCCCAATCTGTCAAGGTTCTAGAGCTGGTAGTGTGGCATGTTAAGTGGATGGGATGGGCCATCTCTGAGAAAATTAGAAAGACTTTCCCAGCTCAGATCTCACAGGAGGGACGGAAGAAAGGATGGCTGCTACTCAGGCCAGCTGACTGAAGCAGAGCAAGGAGGGATACATGCCCTGGGGCTCTGGTTGGGATGGGGATCCTGAAACAGCACTGCAGTGAACCTGCAGCGTCCTTCCTACCTGACCATTTGCGCCATGGGCTTTGCTTGCCAAAGGGAAAACAAGTGGGAGGTAAATTCCAGTGGCCACTCATGATGGGGACAGGGTTAGCCAGCTTGGGCTCCAAAACTGAGCTGGATGCTGGCTGGGATTCCAGAGCTTGGGGTGTAGGGGTGTCTCTACCAGCATGTTTGGGACCCACCCACCTTGTAACTGAAAATCTGTTCCCCCATCTGCCTCTGGCACATCCTCCATCCCCCACCTCCACCAAATGGCAGGGTATCCTGGGAACTCAGGTCCTTGCCTAAATGATGTGCACATCTGGGCCCTTAAGTCTTGCCAGTTCCCATTGGACTTGAACCCCAGAATCCAGAGGAGAGAAAAAAAAGAGGAAATTGGGGGCAGAGTGGATATCAGGCCTGGACTCTGAGCTTTTCTCTTCCCAAATTAGAGCTGAGGAATTCAGGATTTAGTGAGTTTGCAGTAAAGTCTCCCAAGTTGCTAGGCAACATCCATCTACAGCCTGCGCTGCCTCTAGGTCCTCTTCCTGCTGGTCAGAGCTGAAGGGTGGATGGGTGGGGGAATATCTTTACAACACGCTTCCCCACAAACTCCCACGCAGGCAGCACAGCCCTTCCCTCTTCCTAAAAGACACCTTTGTGTGGGGCGAGGGTTGTCTCTAAACACTGGCGGGCCCATGGGAGAATAGATATGGCAACTGTCAGTGCCATCCGCAAAACAGCCATTTCAGCAACAGCCCACTTGAGGCGCCTACGCAGAACTGGCCACAGAGCTTGCCCAGGGGGATGGGCAGGCTCCAAGGTGAGGAAAAGGTACATAGAGAGGAAGGCAGACACTCGGAAATTCAAATATCAGGAGGCAGGAGCAGCAACATGTATGACCTCATTTAAATGACACACACACATAGATCCAGAGGCGCAGACACACACATCCACAGAGACACTACTGTGGGTGGACATGTTGCCACACAAGGACATCCAAAGACATCCGCAGATGTGGTCCCCTCCTCCACCACGCATCAAGGGCATATATGTTCCCTGGGTAAGGGGTTCCTCTTCTGGATCAGGTGGCCAGGGTTTGTCAGCAAGATGGGCTAGGTGGAACTCTGAGCTTCTGATTCTGGAACGGATGAGCTAGGAAAAGGGACAGTGGGCAGCACAGAATGCCTGGGTCTGGCTGCTTGGAGGAGCGGGCTGCTTCACTCTATGAAGGCCCTGGACCTTGGCAGAGCAATGCCGGATGACACTCCCCACAGAGGACTGTTTGGCCTAGGGCCTGGGTGCCAAAGTCAGCTTTTGGAATATTACCTATTAACCAGCTGGGCTTGGTCTTGTCATTGTCCTCCTTGTCTCTTGGAATCTCAAAAACTCTCAGCCCCCATAGCTACTGAAGGAAAAGGACTACAGGCCTGGAAGGGAGATAAGCTCCGGAAGGATCAGGTCAGAGCGAGAGCAAGAGCGAGAGCGAGAGCGAGAGCGAGAGCGAGAGCGAGAGCGAGAGCGAGAGAGAGAGAGAGAGAGAGAGAGAGAGAGAGAGAGAGAGAGAGAGACAGCGCTGGGCATGTGGGTGGGTGGATCCAGTAGGGAATATAGAGCAGGAGGGGCACTGACTAGAAACCCTTGCCCGAAGAGGAGGTGGTGGTTAGACAGAAGAAAGGATAAAAAAGTGGATTAGTGAAAAGCTTCTGGGCTCCAATGAAGACCCTTCTTGGGACAGATGGAGGAGATTTGGAGAGAGTTGGTCCTCGTAAGCAGAGAGAAAAGCCACAGCACACGGCAAGCTACTTGCCAATGCTTGTGGCTTCCCCACAAGCCACATGCCAGGAGTAGGCATGTTCTGAAAACAACATCTCAGCTCGAGCCCACAGAGGTACTCCATGGTTAGAAGAGGCGTGCGCCTATGGTGGAGATGATCTGGGGGCTTTTTAGGTCAGGATTTTACCCATTTGAGTGGAAGGGGTGGGGTATCAGGAAATTCAGTTTTCTGTGCAAATATTTTAGCTTTTGCTATAGTAGTATTTTTAGCAATTTGGTTGGCAGAGGAGCAGCCTGGGCATATTCTTAAAGGGGCCTCTGTCAGACTGGAGGCCTCCTCCTACTCACCCACATGTCGTACGTAGAGGGGGAGAAGCACACAGCTCCACGAACACATTCCAATGTAAAATCAGGTTTGCTGGACATTAGGCGACTAATACCTCATCTTCACCAATAGTCCTTATTAATTGTCATCAGCACTGTTATCATGAGCAGCCTGATCCAGAAGAGTAAATTTTCTGAATTTCTGCTGCATGCAGGGTGCTGCTCGGGACACAATATGAAGGCTTAATATAATGTGTTTGGTAAGACAGGGGAAGGAACCAACACTCCTGAGTGAGTACTGGGTGCCGTGTGCTGTGCAAGTCACATTGTATTATATCTGTGATTTCGTGTAACTCTTACAACAACCCGGTGAGCTGGCATTGTGTCTCCTATTTCACAGATGAGGAAGGGAAAGCGTCTAGGTGTTAGTAACTTGCCCAAGGCTACACATTCATTAGATGGAAGAGTCCATATTAAAACTTGGAGCAGAATAATAACATTATCCTGAATCTGAATAGTGCTTCACAAAGCCCTTTCAAAATCCATAATTTAATTTGGTGCTCTTGAGAAGTGTGTGAGGGCGTATTAGTATTTTTTTTTCCAATTACAGTTGACATTCAATATTATTTTATATTAGTTTCAGGTGTGATTCCCCCATAAGTCTAGTACCCACCGGGCACCATACAAAGTTATTATAACATTATTGACTATCTTCCCTACGCTGTACTTTACATTCCTGTGACTATTTTGCAACTGCCAATCTGCACTTCTTTTTTTAGATTTTTTTTTAATTGTGGAATTGGGGAAGAGGTACAGCCAAGTTGTTGTCCTTCAGTCTTAGTTTGGAGAGTGCAGCTAGCTCAGTTCCAAGTCCAGTCGCCATCCTGCCGCTTGTCAGTAGCTCGCAGCCACTCAGCTCAAGGTGCCGTGTTCAATCTTAGTTACGGGTGGGCGTAGCCCACCATCCCATGTGGGAGTTGAACCAGCAACCTTGTTGTTGGGAGCACATGCTCTCATCAGCTGAGCCATCCTGCCACCCGTTGGCAGCTTAGCTCAGACGCAGCTCACTGGCCCATGTGGGAATCGAACTGGTTGACCTTGCTGCTCAGAACTCGCACTCTTAACCAACTGAGCCACTCAGCCAGCCACAAATCTGCACTTCTTAATTCCTTCACCTTTTTCACTCAGCCCCCAACCCCCTCCTCCCATCTGGCAAACATCTGTTTGTTCTCTGTATTTATGAGTCTGTTTCTGTTTTGTTTGTTCATTTATTTTGTTCTTTAGAAATCATACGATATTTGTCTTTCTCTGACTTATTTCACTTAGCATAAGGTTATTAATATTTTTAACCTCTTTCCTGAGGAGGAAACAAGACCTAGAGAAGTTGGGACTTGGGACTTGTCTGGGATTAGACTTCTAGTGAATTGCCAAAATAGGGCTAAAATGCCAGAGTCCTGACTGAATTTTGTGTGTTTTCACTTCTAAACTGCTGCATTCTACTCTCACAATTTGTGCTGGGCTAGATGGAATGGGTTGCGGTGGTTTCAAATCAGACATAGTCTCTTCCCTCTTAGATTTTATAGTCTGATGATAGAAGTACATATGTATGTGTGTGCATATATACATATACCTGTATAAATATATATCTATGTATATATGTATGAAATATATTTATATCTCCTATAGTA